CCCCTTTCTCCAGTGCCCTGTCTTTGCCTGTGCTGATCCTGGATGCTTCCAAGGAAGTGGATACACCGCAGTGAAAGGAATTAGGAGTAATGTTGCCTCAACAGGAAGGATTTATTTTATTTAAAGTACGTAATTAGTAGTTGGCTTAAACATTGTGGGAAAAGCTTTCCCTGTCTTCATGTTAGCGAAGGATTTTCATTATCTATCTATGTTTATTCCTGCTGTGGCAATGAGTTCCTCAGATTTTTCCATTCCTTCTGTAGGATCTTTGGGCTAGGAAGTACCTTGCCTTGTGAAGACTTCAGGCTTCTTTGGGATGCAGGTTCTTAAAAGTTACTTTCCTTTCACCTGTAAGGATTCCTCAGGAAAGTGTTGGCTGCTTCATTTCCCTTAAAACCAAAGGAAATGTGTATATCCATCTCTCTTAGATCTTGAGTGAAGAACAGTTAAATCAGCTCTTGTTTCTCATACAAACTTGAATTCTGCCCCACTCGAGTGTTAGGGAATCAGTTGTATTCCGTACAGTATTTCATGTGTATGTCCGTATGCTCCCTTTCTAAATGAAACACTCAAAAGCTGAGCATAGTTTTTAGTGTCAGAAGTTATTACAGTATTGAATAAAACATACTGAACAGTTCATTTAAGAGCTCCAAAGAAATTTTGACATCAAGAGCACTGCTGCAAGGGTAATCTAATAAAAACTCACTATTCTTTATAAAAAGAATAAAAATTTCTTTATTCTGTGTGCAGTGGAAGGCCAACAGAAATCTGCAGAAGGTACTGTGCTAAACTTACTGTTTGTGTCAGGTGGGGAAGTGGCTAAAAGATGCATTTTCCTGGGAGATAAATCCTGAAACCACCCAAACAGGCAGGTCCTCCAGCGCTGCGTATCTGTCACTTCCACTTCAGAACTGTGTTCAGTCCAGGGTGGCACACTTGTGGAAAGCTTGATGCTGTCACTGATGGTCATGTCCAGAGGGACTTTGTCCTAATCTAAGACAGGGATGCTGCCATTGCCTTCTGCGCCACCTGGGTCACTACCTAGATGAACTTCTGTGTGCAAACTCCAGGGCTTGTTGAAGTTGGTTTTCCCTCTCTGTGGAAAGGCTTTTCTTTCAGAATATTTTTGCACACATTCTCATGCATATAGAATAGTCCGTGTGAGAAGGTGACAATAGTTTTGGGCACAAACTTGATCCATCTTCCAGTTCATTCCCTAGTACCTTCTTCTGTTTGCTTGTAAGGTGGAGATTGGCGAATTCTTTTGTACAGGAAGCACAGTGCATTTGGCAGGTTTCTCTTATTAGCTTTGATTCATGGAAAAGCTATACATGGTGTGTCTTAAGCTCAAAAGAAATGAGGAGTTGAATAAAATGTATTTCAATTTGTTTGAACAGCAATATGCTGGTGTTCTTTCTTTCTTGCCATATGTGGCCCATAAGATCCACTGTCATGGAGATTTGTCGATGAAATATGAAGAACCCTTGGCAGTGTGCTCTTCCCTTCAAATCCTGCACACTTGACAGTTTTGAACAGCTTATGTCTGACTTGTCCCATGATGCAGAACTGGAAACACGCAGGCCTCCATATCCTGGGAACTGTCGGTGTTGGTAACGATGGTCCCTTAATAATTGTTTCCTATACAGGAGAGATGCTGTGATGTCACTTTATGACAGGTTTGTCTGAATTCAGAATCCACAAAACATAAATCTACATACAATTATGGTGAAACAGCTAATATTTCATTATGACATTTAATGAAACAGTTTTATATTCTTTCAAACATTATAGTCTTCTGAATTTTGAAACAGCCCTGTGCCCTTGCATTTTTTTTTTTTTTAACAAGGCTTGCAATGTTATGCCTCTTCAAAGCGGATCATTTTTGACAGTCCTGGCAGTTGGCTGCAAGAGTTTTATTGCTTTCTGTTGAATTCCTGTTGTTTATTGTAACATGATAAAAATTGTTACCATATGATAGTCTAATATTCTTATATTAAGCACTAGGCCGTGGGCTAGGGGGAAGGGAAGTCAAGAGGGAAGTGCCTAAAGATGTTTTAACTTTTCATGGGAATTTCTGTACCAGAGCAGGGTTACTTGCCGTAGTCCACAAAAGTGATTTTGGGAAAGTAGCAAGTAGAATTAAGTTCGGATTTAATTAGCTACGAATTCGGTCTCCAGGCTTGTAAGAATCACGTGACTCGACAACGTAAGCAAAGCGTAAAACTACTTGACTTTGTTGTTTTAAAATCCCGTACACGGGAAGAGCTGAACTCTGTATCGGTGCAAACCGTGCTCCCCTGCAGCATGGAGAAGGCAGCCCAGCTGCTGGAGGCTGCTGTTTCACCTGTAGGAACAGTGCCAACCTGAAGGGACCTTCTGCTCAAGGACGTGGGCTGTTGAGAATCCTGCTCTTTGCAGAATGTGCTCTGAATTCAGTTAGGAGGGCAGTGTTCCAGGAGGTGTCTGTCGTTGAGGGAAGTATTTGTAGCACAATGAGCTATGTAAAGGCCCCCTGAACGTGTCATGGTAAGTGGTGTGTTCCCTGCAGGTGTTTTGTTCCTGTAGTTTCAGCCTGGTGTACGAGTGGTGGTATGTGCCTAACCTTCTCCAGATGTCTCCAAATGTTGCTTTTGGACGCTTGTGTTCTGCCAGTTCAGCTTGTCTTTTGTCTTTTTCAGGGTTTCACAGTCTTGAACTACTGGATTTTGGCTACTACATGCCTGAAGATGTTGATCGACATCTAAAGTCAGAATTGGTTCTAGATGCTGTGTAGATGCAAAGCAGCACAAATCTATATCTAAATTTCTTAATCTTTCCTGCTCAGTGGTCGTCTTTGAATTTACTACAAATTCACTGACTTGGAGTAGATGAATTTCAGAAGCCTATCCTTCCCTGCAATGAGAAATCCAAAGCTTCACGTGTAAATTGTCCGTAGAACCTGAACTCAGATGGCTTGTTTTTCAGAAATAAATCAGAAGTCAAGAAAGGACTTGGCCTAATTTATATTGCTTTGCACTTTTGTCTGACTTTAAAGAAAAAAAACATTCTCCAATGAAATTTGGGTGCCAAACACATACCCAGAATGTACAGAGCTTTGCTTTCAAAGTCACCATTGTCCTTTAGACTTTAATCTCATGACAGATTCAGAGCCTGTTTTGTTTGATAGGAGTGTACGTTGGACTCTTAGAAATATTTCTGAATTGCTCAGTAATATTTTTGGATTACAGTTTACTTGTTTCTGCACCAATAATTTCTTTTAAATTAAAAATTACCTGTAATTCAGGCTAGGTTATCTAAACTAGTTGTATAGCACTGTCGTTTCCTTTTAACTGTGCTCTGTACTACAGCCGTCCTATGCTTCCTAATGTTTGGTATAGTAAAACCTTTCCATGTGTGCTTGCCTCATTTCAAATACTGTATAAGCATGTAGATATAATGTACATAACCGTGTAACCTCCAGGTGCTAGGAGTCAGGATTTCCTGACACTACACACTAATACAAAATGTGGTAGCACTTGGCAGCAGGATGTTCTAACTACTGGCACTGTAGGGGTTAATATGAGTTACCTAGAAATTTTCTCTGCAAAAGGAGGTTTTCAGTATTCATTAGGATTTTTTTTTTTTAATGGGAACTACATATTTTAAAATGTAATTTCTAAACTTTTTAAAAATTAAAAAATGTTTAATTTATGTTCTGTATCTTAATTTTGTGCCGCAGTATTTACGGATGTCTTTCTTTTAACACCAGTAGGGTCTCACGACGGCCTGCTGATGTCCTTCTTTAGCATTAGTTGGTCTGCTCAATGGAGAAGGTGCCATGGGCCAAAGTTAAATTTATTTATGTTTGATTTGTGACACTTCCTTACGGTGGAGTGGAGGTCCCTTCAGGTCAATGTTCTGATTACCATGCTAGTTCTCTTACCTGTGGCTATCAGCTGTAACCATATTGCAATGTCCTGGTCATGGTTTCTCTTTGTTAGCATGCTTTGATTTGGAAACCTCGGTAGTTTCTCACATTGTCATAGTCTCCCCTCTAATTTATGTGGTCGTATAAACGCTACTGCATTTTTCTTATGTCAGAGTAAGACATGGACAAATGCGAATTTGAATATTTTATCTCCATTAGCCATGTGTGACTACGCCTGTTGGTGGCTTTTCTTTAATGCTTCAGTCAAACTCAGCGTGAAATACACCTGTTTTCCTGGGGAAGATGTGTGTTGGCACAGAAATGTATTGTCATTCCTTTGATCATTGTATGTCGTGTATTTTTGTCCTCTGGCAGCACTTTCTTGGGTTTGAATTTTTCCCTTTTACAATCAGAAAGGCTGAGGGATGTCAGATTGCCGAGGGATCGATCCTGAGCTTACCAGCAGAACAGCTATGGTTAGGTGCAGCATTTCTGTGTCAGACAAGTTCAGAGAAAGCATCCATCAAGACATTACTGAAACGTTACAGAAGTGCAACTCAAGGTTTTTTCCTCTTCACCCTTCACATTGAGAGAGGTGTTGGGATCAGTGTTTAAGTTAAACTTAACTCCCATTTACGTGTTACTACAACGATATTTATTTCATCAAGATGACCGAATGTGATGAAGTACAGAAGGTTAAAAACGCGCTCCTAAGCGTCCATAAGATCACTTTTTGGTAAGCTTGACAGTAGTTTGTGAAAGTGTCTTACTTTACCCTTCTCATCTAATAGCTTTAATATTAAACTGTTTAAAGAGAAAATCTGTCGCAGCCCTGAAGAAAAAGGTATTTGTTTCTGAAAAATGGAGTCCTTTTTTAAATGCATGTGTAAGACTTAAATTCCTGTTTTTCCTTGGGAGATAATGGTATTTGAACATGCGGTCTAAACTTCTTTGTGCTTTGTGTAACATAGCAGTGGACTTTTGTGATTGGCACCCAAGGAACTTGACTCCTGGGATTAATGGTAGTGATCCTGGCTGCACTCTGGACTTTGTTTTGCTAACATAAATGAGCAACTGTACATTACTGCTATATTAATGTTTCAAAGCACTGGGATAGTCTAATTCTAACTTGTAATTATGTTTGCCAATTATCTGTTTGGAAAGTTGGTGTATGAACAGCTTATTGAAACTGTTAAATTGTACAGATATCGTTCATGATCTAAAGCTTTGTACCGTGGAATGTGCTTAATAAAAAAAAGTTTGAACTTAATTTGTCAAATAAATGGATCAGTAACGTCATCTAACTAAATGTTGGTATCATGCATTAGTTAACGTATGGACATGGTGAAAACTGCACTGAGCTAGTTCACCCATCTCGGAGAAACTTCTCTGCTGTGCTCTGCAGCACTTCTGGTCCGTGCATCAGCAGAAACACCGCAAGAATTATTTTATCAAGGATGCAGATAGACTTTTTAAAGTATTACCCATTTCCTGGGCTGCTAAAGCAATTTGTGCCCTGAGCCCTGTGCACATAAAGGGTCTTCTGATGCTAGCTGTGCCTTAAGAAAAACTGCTTTTCTTGGGTTTTCTTTTGCTACTGTACAGTGAGGGTGTGTAAGTCCTTCAAAGGTCTTCTGTTAGACAACCACAATACAAAAATGGTTGGGTGTGTTCTGTGGCATCACATCAGTAACAAAAAGGCGACACATTTTTGGTATTACTTCTGTCCCCTGGTGTTCTGTCAGTTTTATTTGTGAGCAAGCCTTGGTTTTAAAGAATTTGAGAAATCATCACTGCTGCTGCTTGGTTAATGAGTTCTGACAGTTCAGTTCCGAGCAGGCCGACCAGAATGATTTATCGTGCAGATCTTGTGGTGCTGCCTCGTCCTCTTAGCATGAGGGCTCTGCCTGGGATCTTGCTTTGGGCATCCTTGGCAACTGGGTTGACTTCGTGTGCCTCCCGTGGGGCTCACCAGTGATCTGCTGTGGGAAGTGGTTTTGTTAAGGTCTAGGTTGGATGTGTTCACCTGAAATGTTTTTAAAGGTTGCTATAAACACTGCTAAGAATATGAAGCAAGTTCTGGCTAAGCATTAGCAAATTCTCAAAATATTAAATATTCAAAAATATACTCAAAATTCCTCTCTGTAGATTACTTTTATTCTTCTAGGCCTAATCTGACACTGGATAATTTCAAAGAAATTTCATTTTTGTTCAGAGTAGCTGCACTTCATTGAGAGGAAAGCAAGAGAAATCTTCATGTATTTTTCTGCTAGAAGGGCATTGTAAAAAGTGAAGCCTCATTGAACTATTTAAAGCCCTTGTGACTGTCTTTCTGAATATCGTTATCCATAAGAGCCATGTGAAAATCTGGAGTAGAAATTCTGAGATCAAACTTAAAATCCATCTCACCTGGGTGGGCTTCAGATTTTTATTTTTCCTTCAAGTTGTATTCTTAATATTCTTAACAGTCTCCATTAATTCCCACTGGAGACCTTTGTAGAGAAGTTGAGGCTCCTCTGCTGGGTGCTCACACATCCTCCCAGAGTTTTTGGGGCCCCCTTTTGACTTTTCCCTCTTGCCCAAGGCTGGGTGGGGTGCGCTGCTGGGCGTGATGCAGCTGTGCTGCTGCCAACCAGCCTGCGAGCACCAGGTGAGTGGGGCGAACCGGGGGCCATCTGGGCACGGTTAAGAAGAGGCTGTTGAGTGCTCTCAGATTTCAAGGTCTGAGGGAGCCGTGGCTGTTAAATATGCAGGAGAATTGGGTTTTACCCTGCTCGTCTGATCGCGTTACACCAGCAGATGCTTTCGCTGCTGTGACCCGATGCTCCCAGGGGATGAGGGACCCCAGGGCTGCTGCTGGCTGCAACCAGGTGATGGAGAGGTTTGTGCTTAGAAGTGAGGTAATGGGGGTATGTAACGTCCCTTCAGTGCCCTGTGTTTGTGGGGGCAGCTGTGTGCTTACCCTGTAAGTGAGCCAGCTGTGTCCTAATTTGTGCTTAGTTTCTCCTGAGCAGCAGTGGGTTTGCTTGGTTCAGCAAACCGTGAGCTTTTGTGAAGAGGATTGGAGAGGCGAGTGCCTGACAGGTAACGACAAATAACTTGTCTGAGTTTTTTAAAAGTCCCATCTGAAGAAAGGCTTCAGCGGGCTGTGCTGTTGTGGCTTTATGGCAAGAGCTTGTCAGCAGATCCCCTGTTCTGGTAACCCCCTGCTGCCATGAGGTGGCCGCTTGTGGCTGCTGTTGCAGTCGGTGCCTGTAGGAAGGTCGCCCTGGGCTTTTCCTTTGCTGTCTCTGTAAGATAGCAGCTCCACAACAGACTTTCTGCCTGTAGAAAAGGCTCCTGTTTGAGATCCAGCTCAGCCTGGGCTGGCTTTCAAGGTCAGAGCCACGTTGATGTGCTCCATTGGGTACAAATGCACTTCAGTCAAATTAATCAGTGGAAAGCCTGCTTCAAGAACGTGGTGGGAGAGCGAGCAGCGAGATGTGTTATGGGGCTGAGCAGGAGATGTTTGGGCCTGATACTATAAACTGGCCAGCCCAGAGCTTTCTCCTTGGCAGGTACAGAGTTGAGCACTCCAGGCCTGAGTTTTCTGCTTGACTTTGCTGACTCTCTGCTGCAGTGTGGTTTTTTTTTTTTTTTTTTTTTTTCCCTTCACAGATGTCTGCTCTTCATTTACCTCTGCTTCTCACCATTTCCAGAAGCTTTTTTTTTTTTTTTTTTTTTTTTTTTCTGAGCAGCTGTGAGATGCAGAAGATCCAAGTGGGGAGCGTGAGCAGCGCTGCCTGGACTTGGGGAAGGAGGGTGGTGGTTACCCAGGGGGAAAACTTGCACGGATAGAATAACTGGAAGGGAACAGCGTGTGCGGAGAGCACTTGGATGCAGAGGAACACCTTGCTTTCCTGTCCTGCATGACTGTGGTCGTATTTCTGCACAGCCTGATTGTGCCAGCTCTCCTGCTGTGGGTCATCACCTATGTGGGATGGCAGCAATTACAGCTAACGAGTTTCAGGTGCTCGCTCTTTGCTGGCTCAGGGGTGGAGGCTGCCCAGCGCCGTCCTGCAGCAAACACTGGGCAGGCACCAAACCTCTGCTAGCCTGGAGCTGGGAGCTTTTGGCCAGGCTCAGGGAAGGAAAAGGGGTTGGGGTGGCTGTAACAGGCCTGTCCTGAAGCCTCTCCAGTTCCTGGCGTGTAAGCTGGAGGGTAAACAGCACGTGCCTCTGGAACAGATCCTTTGGGATATGTGTGGATGAACAGCGCCTTACGCTGCCTGCTTACCACAGGTATGACCTTGTCCTCAGCTGTCGTAAGGAAGTTTTGCTAACCAAAGCTAGGGATTGCCTCCAGGTTAACCGCCAAGCTCTGCACCTTGCTGTCCCACAAACTGCCTGGAGCCCTGCTCACAGCCTGGCGGTGTTCAGCGTGGCCCACCATCTCTGGGGGGTCTCTCTTCTCCCTTCTCAAGATATTTCACATTGTCTCAGTGCCAATTATCAGCAGCGAGGTGACCCTGGAAGTGCTTGCCCTCTTACAAATAACCCTTTTGGAAGGATCTATCATCTCGTGGACTGAATTAAGGAAGCACCTGGAATGTTTTTTTTTTTGGCATTTCTTCCCAAAGTTGTACAGCTAAGCGTGCAGACGTGTGCGGGAAGCATTACAAAACCTTCCTAGGTCAAAAGAATCACCGGATCTTATCCCTCTGCAGTTTGGGGGAGCAGGGATGAGAGCAGGGATGAGCCTGCTTGCTCCCTGGGCTGGAAGTAAGAGCAAAATGATTTGGGTCAGCTTAGAGCAGATTTCCTTTAGTGTGCAGAGGGGAACTTTTCTCACTTGTTCCTATTTTTGAGTTCTCACATTCAGAGTTTTTCTGCTTTAAGCCCTCTGGGTTGAGGAGCTGCCACTTTCAGAGCCCAGGGGTTTGTGTGTGTCCAGGCAGGCGCTCGGGTGCGCAGGCAGAGCCCGGGAGAGGTGGCAGGGGGATGCAGGGGGATTCAGGGGGTCACCCTGACTGGCCCTGGGTTTAGGGAAGGGAGAGCAGGAGCTGAGCGTTGGGTGCTCGCGTCCTCCTTGCTGCTCGGGTGAGGCAGGTTCCAAGCTGGAGGCTGACCTGAAGGCTTTTCGGGTTTCACAGCACCTCTTGGTCTCCTGTGCAAATGTCCACCGGCAGCTCGGGGCCCGGGAGGGACACAGGTGAGTTTGTCTGAGGGAAGGGGCTGGGAAACTCCCTCCTGGGGAGCTGCTGGGTTCGTGCAGGAGGCTCTTCTGGCTGCAAGCTCGGAAATGAGCTTACACCCCCGTGAGAAGGGTTGGATGTGCCATTCTTCAGCAAGCGGCAGATGAGAGATTAAAATAAGTAACGCCAAACCTTGCGAAGAGCAGGAGGCTGCGGTGCTGAAATCCCAGCAGGGAGCGCAGCGAGGGCTGGTGGTGTTTGTCCTGCAAAAACTGCGGTTCAACGTGGCCCAGCTCCTAGAGGGGAATCTTAGAGCTGTTCCTGTTGTGTAATTTAAGGGAAGCTTTCAGAATTGTTCTGGGCATCAGACGGGAACCATTGCTGAGGTGCTATGGCAAGGGGTGGTGCTGGGGAGGGAGGGGGCAGCCCACGGCCGCTGCCCACAGCCCAGAGCTGCTGGGGGTGAGGCTTTGTTTCACCCCAACCCCTTCACGACAGGTAGGACGTGGATGTGGCCACTAAGGTGGAGCTGAAGTGGCTTTGGGGTGGCAAGGGGAAGGCTGGAGCTGAGCTCTGGCACAAATGATGTGCACTGAGGGCTTGGGAGGCTACAGGGGACTGGGACCTGCAGTCCAGATCCACGTCTGGTGATGATTTTAGCTGGTTCCCAAATGTGGGTGCTTCCAGCAGCTGCATGGGGCTGTTAATTGCATCCAGGAGCCTCTTACCCTGCCCTTTTTCCTGTCTGCACAGCGAGTGGGATGTTTCCTGCCTCTTTTCCAAGCGCCTGTCCCTTTTGTCGCTGCCTGTGCCTACGCTGTGCCTTCGCTACCAGCCAAGTGCTACCTCCTTCCCACATCCCTCTCACCTCTTCAAACAGCAAAATTACCTGGCCAAACTCTTCCATGGCCTGCTGGGGACAGCAGTGTGGCTCTGCTACTATAGTGGCCATGGCACAGAGTGGCGGATCCCCGTCCATGGCACCCACCACCTCACCTGGGCAGAAGAGGTGGGTGCTGGTGGCTCTGCCTTTACCCTGCCCACAGGAGGCAGCTGCAATGCCAGCAGCTACTTCCACAAGGCAAAAGCCTCCAGGAGGATAGGAAACAGCAATCTTCCCTTCTGGAGAAGCGCGAGGGATGTATATTTTTGGAGGTTTATTCTAGGTACTTGCTGGAAGGGCTCCACAAATAGCAGTGAGTGCGCGTGCCAGCAGGAGGAAGAAGATGGATGGGAGCGAGCTCCTGCTCCTGGGAGATGTTTCACCTCTGGACGCGGAGAACAAGCTGCGAAATGTTCCCACCATGTGTTTATGGATCCGCCACACAGGCGGACGCTGCTCAGCTCCAGCACGCTCGTGCAAAACGTGTCGGTGCAGGGATGACTGAAGTGAGCGGCTCCCCTTCCTCCGGGAGCGCACACGAGGCCGCCCCGCTGCCAAGCGCCAAAAGCTGCACCCAAGCCTCCTGCTAGAGTGTGGTAAGTCAGCCCCGACTGGGTGGCCCTTTTTTTATTTTTTATTTTTAATCTGCAGACAGGTCTCAGTCTGAAGTAGAAACAGCTTTCCTGGTCTGAACAATTTAAAGAATTGCATTTTCATCTTTTCCTTGGCACGGCCCAGTGCAAATAAAGTGAGATGCGTTTGTATCTCTTGACTACTTTTTTTCCACAGTCTAAAATCTTCTATTTTCTTTTCCTCCTTTTTTCCTTTGAAGCAATCTTTTGAAGGTTTTATTTTTTAATTTCCAAACACATACTCAGAAAAGAAGTTCACTTTTTTTTCTGTACGTCTTCCACTCAGACAGACTTCCACGTTGGGGAGCAGCCGGGCTGGAGACCTGGGGCTTCATCTTTGCCAGATGGGCTGGGAGGGCAATGGGTGAAGAGGTGGTGTTTGCAGTTTTGGTTGGAGGAGATGACAGGGTGCCCACAGAGCCGTGCTGGTAGCAAAGGCTGCTCGGGAGCTGATGCATCCCTCCAGCAAAGCCTCTGACCTGATGCAGAGCCTCTGCCAGAGCCAGTGGCACGTCCCAGCAGGAGTGGCTGAGCAGCAGCACGGTTATCCCATGCCTCTGCTTTGCAGAGCTGGGGGTGCAGCAGGGTGGGAATTCAGTGCTGGGGATACAGGATTATCCCTGAGCTGGGGGTAACGCCGAAGTCTTGCTTAGAACCAAATTTGCCGTACAAGGAGGAGGAGCGTTGTGCCTGGCCTCAGCGTGCCCCAGCCCTGTGCTGTGTGCTGCTGATCTGCCACGGACAAAGCCCTGGGCAGCCAGGCCGGCTGCTGGGGCTGCCCCGAGCACACGGTGTGGTGGGCAGCGTCCCTTGTGGGAGCTGTCAGCAGGAACAGACTTGTTGGCTCTTGGTGCTTTAACCTGTGCTGGGGGCAGTAACACAAGTGCTTTGGAGGAGAGAGACTGGAAGAAGTTCAGGCCCATGAAGTATTGTCTTTGTCTTTGCAGGGCTGCATTGGTTTGTTTACCACTCTGCCATTCTACGTCACTTGTTTTTCAGGGTTCTCTCTCCTGCTGCCATGAGATTTACCTTCTTTCTGTTCAGTTATTTGTGATCTTTTGCCTTGGATTCTTTGTTTTATTTGATAAACTTCTCTAGGAAAGCAAGCACTTAGCTGTGGCACTTGAGGTGCTGC